TGTGGCTGTCTGTGTGCAGGACCCGCGTTTCCACATTGTGCCCGCCCGGGCGCCGAGATCTCCAAGAACCGTTCCACCACGGCAGTTTCCCTGTGGGACCGGTCGTCGAGGTCAGCAGCGCCAGGAGCAGTTGCGTAAGGAGTGGCGCCGTGTCGTCAAGGTATGCGAAGCGAGGGAGGGTGATAAGGGAGGGAACAGGGAAGGAGAAGGCATGTCGGGAGCCGTTCCTGCGGGCTTGATCTTTCGCAGGAGCAGGTTGTCATGGAGCCGCCCTCCCCGACGGGCAGCACCGCCAGCACCAGCAACGACATCGACACCGACACGGTGCGCAGAGTGCCGCACACTTGTATTCACGCGCGCACACATGCCTGCATGCCTGTCTCTGTCTGTGTGTGTCTGTGTGGCTGTGTGCTCTGATCACAGGGTTCCAACTTCGACAAGAATGTGAGCACGAGACACACACACTTGACGAATGGACATCTGATGAATTGTGGCTGTGTGTGTCTGACAGAACTTCCCCTCACTGCCGGGCGCCAAGGACAAGCTCACCACGACTCCGCGAGACACGGTATGCAGAGGTGACAGACCCGAAACCATCAGACGTGTACACACATGCAACTGTGCACAGGGCAAGTGGGAGAAACGCTCGAAGAAGGTCATGGAAGCGCCCACGCCCACCAACAGCACCAAAAGCACCACCAACGGCAGCGTGAAGGTGCACACAGTGACACTCACAGACACAGATGCCTGCATGGCTGTCCATCAATCTGTGTATGTGTGTGTGTCTGTGTGTGTCTGTGTGTGTGTGTGTGTGTGTGTGCAGGAGTGCACCCACCGCCACCACGTGCCGCTGATCGTGAAGACGAAGGATCGCGTCAAGGTGCGCAGGCAGCACACACACACACGCATCCACCCAGCCACCACACTGTCTTGCGTATCTCTGTGCGCATATCAATGTGTGTGCAGAACAACGTGTGTTTCCACTGTGGCCAGCCCGGACACTTCCACTCGAACTGCCCGAAGTTGGCCGCCGCTACTGCTGCTGCCAGAAACGTACGCAAAGATCGGACATCCACACATACACACAACTGCATACACACACACCGACGCACACACCCTTAGATGACCGACATGGCTATTTTTGTCTGTGTGCAGGACCCCAGATTCTACATCGTGCCCGCCCCTGGTGCCGCCACTCAGAAGACCACGGAGACCGCCAACAAGAAGGTGCGCACGCACACCACCAAGGTACGTAGATGGACACACATCCACACATCCACTCATTGGCTTTCACATACTGTGTTGGTGTGTGTGTGTGTGTGTGTGTCGAAGTGGGTGTCCAAGACCAAGGCGGCCGGCACGCCTTAGGCGCACAACACCACCCACACCCTTACACCACCACCACGCCGCGGCCAAACTCTAGGCCAACCACTGCGTCAAGGTGTGCAGGCAACACACACACACACAAACACACATCCATCCATCCATTCGTCTGTCTGTCTACGTATCTCTATGTGCGCATATCAATGTTTGCGCTGCAGGTGTGCTTCTGGTGCGGGGGACCCGGCCACGGATACCTCGACTGCCTGGATTTCCGCGCCAAGCTCGCCGCTGCCAAGCCCAATCCAGTATGCAAGGACCAGACACCCACACAAAGATACGCGCACACACCGACGCACATCCTGAGATGCCCGACATGGCTATCTGTCTGGGTGTGTGCAGAACCCGTTCTGGATTATCGAGGCGCCGAGCGTCACGGCCCCCAAGCTGACCAAGATGGAGCCCGCCAAGCAGACCAAGAAGCCATCGGAGAGGGTAAGCAGATGGACACACTCATTCACTCATTTGTTGTCACGCTGTGTGATGGTGTGCGTAGATGTGGATGCCGAAGAAGTCCGCCTGTCCGTTTGTGTGTCCTTTCAGTAATTGGACAGCAGGTCTGCTTGCATACAGACACCCAAGACACACGGATCCATCCATCCATCCATCCATGTTTTTCCATCCATCTGTCTGTGCAGATTGCTGGCTACATTTTATATTTGATCGACTGATGACAAGCCCGCAACCCTGCCTTATCCCGCCGTGACGGGGACCCCCGCTTCTACGTTGTGCCGATCGCTGTTGAGCGCTCCAAGGATGCCCAGGCACGAGAGGAACATGAGACGGCACACGTATGAAAGAAAAGATGTGTTACTTGCCGCATGTGGATGGATGGTTTTGTGTGTGTATGTCTGCGTCTGTGTGTGTGCAGCTGATCCGTCTCATCTCTGGCAAGGCCACTATCACGCCTGTCGAGGCCAACACGGTTCGTCAGCGCCCCCGCCCCTCCCCCAGACACACATCGGCAACCACATGGATGGATCTCTTCCTTGTGTGTGTGTGTGTGTGTGTGTGCAGAACTGCGTTGTCGGTGTCAGTTCTTCGGGCAAGGCCACTACCACGCCTGTCGAGGCCAACACGGTTCGTCAGCGCCCCCGCCCCTCCCCCAGACACACATCGGCAACCATATGCCCACACACACCGAGCCGCCCTGCATCTCGGGGAGCTTGTCTTTTTCTGCCTATCCGTGACGCAGGCCGTCGTCGAGGTGCCGGAGGATCAGGCGCCCGCTGTGGTGAGTGCAGCGTGGATGTGGGCTGCTCACTCCTCTTTCGTGCACTCTTTCGCAGATGGAAGAGGAGATCAAGGAGCTGGAGCTGCGCAAAGAACAGAAACGCTAGGAGCACTTGGACCGCTTTGTCAGGATGTTGGACGAGATCAACTGAGGAGCTCAACGCTCGAGAGGGGGACACCGCCAGATTGAAGGCCAAGGAAGCACAAGAAGCGCGCAAGAAAGCCAAAGCCCACGAGGTCTCAGGCGAAACATACATCAGCCATTGCCGCGTACACGGAAGTCGAGCTATGATGCATCTGATGTCATGAGTGCAGCGCAAGGCGACCTGCGTTAAGCGCGCGAAGGATACCCAGGCACGGGAGGAACATGAGACGGCGCACGTATGAAAGAAAAGACGTGTCACTTGCCGCATCTGGATGGATGGTTTTGTGTGTGTGTATGTCTGCGTGTGTGTGTGTGCAGCTCATCCGTCTCATCTCTGGCAAAGCCACTACTACGCCTCTCGAGCCCAACACGGTTCGACAGCCGCCCCGCCCCTCCCCCACACACATCGGCAACCATATGCCCACACACACCGAGGTGCACAAGCACGGTGTGAGAACATGACCGGTCACTGTGAGAGTCATCCTTTTGTGTGTCTGTACTCGCAGATCGAATCGTTGTCTACGTTTTATATTCGTCAGCATATCTTCGCTTCTTCGCAGTCATGTCTCCGACAGGACCAGAACAAGACCTCGATGGCAAAGACATACATGCAATACATCAGGAATACTTTGTCTTCACTTCTGTTCTCTCTGTGGCTGGGTGGTGTGCAGATCGCTGGCTATATTTTATATCCAATTGGCCGATGACGACCCCTTCAAGCGCACTGCCTTGCTGGCCGTTTGCGCATCGAAAGTGAGCTGTCGAAGTATTCTATACCGATCAAGTCGTGTGTAAGTGTCTCGTGTCTGTGTGTGCAGATGGATCGCCGTCTCCCTCTGACATCTCCGAGGCGCCTGCCTAAATCATCCATTCAGTCTGCCCCCGGCGGCCCCACAGGTACGTACGTAAGTGAGGGAGACACAAAAGAGGTGATAATCAAGATTTGCTCATGTCTCTTCTCTTTCGTCTGTCTGTCTACGCTTTTTTGGCCGCTTCGGCGGCCCCCAAGAGACGCCTCTTCTATCTACTGGCCCGCTGCCCCACTGGCCAGCCCACGGCCTCCACTCGCAGCCCTGATGACGCTGCCAGTGGAGGCAGCTATAAGGTACGCTGCCTGACGCGATGTGGGTACTCACTTGTGTGTTCCCATCTTTGCTTCGACTCTCAGGAGTTGATTCGCCTCCCCAAGGACAAGCTCCGCGCCGAGCGGGAGGAGTGGGCCAAGAAGGAGGCGATGTTCGAAAAGGTAGGAGGGAGAGGGAAGGCGAGCCGATGGCTGCCAATTACCTCTGCTGCCCTGTCTTTCAGGAGATACTAGGTGTCTGCCGGGAGAACTCTGAGTTTAACCTGGTAAGATCATCGACTTGAGCACATGCCAATCTGAATGCCGTCTGGTGTGTGCGTAGGAGCTGACGGCCAAGAAGGACGACAACCGTCAACTGCTGGAGCAGCTCACCGATAATAACTTCAAGAAACCAGCACGAAAGGTACGCATCAAAGGAGTATGCACCTGCTTCAATCATGCATTTGTGTGCGTGGGTTTGTGTGTCAGACCACAGCGACACAGACGGTGTCACTGACACATGGGCAGACCGACGTCCATTTATTCTACGTTTGTCTGTGTGTGGGTGTGTGTGTGCAGGTTGGTGCGTCCGTTGGTGGTGCTGCCAAGGTCCATTCGGTCGCTGCTGCTGCTGGCGAAATTGGGAAGACCTCGACGCCGTCGCCTGCCGGGAATGTGAGCGCTCACACACATCCACCCACTCACTGACGACATGGCCAAATCCAAGTGCACCTGCCTCTGTGTGTGGTTTGTGTGCGTGCAGTCTGGTTCGGTCCTCACTGGTGGTGAGAAGGTTGGTGGTGCTGCTGCTCGTCACGGCGGGTTCCGCGGGAGTTTAGAGAGGACGTAAGCCATCTCAGTTGACTCGATCCGATTGACCAGTAATGATGTGTGTGACGCGGTTGTGTGTTGCAGAACTTCCCGGTGATTCGGCTATGTCACCACGAGGTATGCAATTGAAGATGAGTCGTGGCACATGAGATCTCACCTGCCGTCGTTTCTGTGACGCATCAGGGCCGCAACCACAACCACCACCACCACCCCGGCCGCCGCAACTTCACTCGGATTCCTTTTTGGCGAGACAGGTAGGGTGCAGCCAGTCGAGCAGTTCCTATAATGCGTGATGTTCTGTGTTGTCTGTCTGCAGGGATGCGGTTCAGCTACTCCTACGAGCTGCCGGCACAGGAAGACCCCGTCTACTTCCAGCACCAGTGCCCCTTCCCCCGGCAGCCCCGCCGCCACCACATGCACCCTGGCTCTCGCTGCCAGTGAGCGTGCACTGCGACTCACTGACTAAACGTCGTGGGTGTGCTGCTGGTGAGGGGATGCGGGTGGATGCGGGGCCTCACACGACATTTGTACAATACATAAAGGAATACTTTGTCTTCTGTTCTCTCTGTGGCTGGGTGGTATGCAGATCGCTGGCTGTATTCTATATTTGACCGAGCGATGACGACCCCTTCAGCCGCACTGCCTTGCCCCGCCGTTTGCACAGCAAAGGTCAGCTGTCGAAGTATTCTGTACTGATCAAGTCATGTGTAAGTGTCCCGTGTCTCTGTGTGCAGATGGATATCGCTGTCTCCCTCTTACATCTCTGATGCGCCTACCTACTTCATCCATTTGGTCTGCCCCCGGCGGCCCCACAGGTACGTAAGTGAGGGAGAAGGGAAGACGGCACAGGAAATTCATCGTGTCTCTTCTCGTCTGTGTGTTGGCGCATGTTTGGCCGCTTCGGCGGCCATCGAGAGAGGTACAGTCTGTATGGGCAGCTGGCCCATGGAGCAAGAGAAGACCCCACAACCATGGGTCAATGCTGAACCCGGACGAGGTTTGCAGGACCGACACATTACACGCCCTGCGGTTTCCCCCCATATCAATTATGCGCAGGAACAAACATCTTGTCGGGCCACGTGCACTCGCGCTGCCCGCACTACCTCGTTGACATGGTGGGCAGAGAAAACACGTTCACATCTTTATATGTCTTCATTCCTGACATGGCTGTCTGTGTGCAGGCACCCAGCGACAACCACAACCGGCCGGCCTCCAACAACCGCCCGGCCGCCAAGAAGCAGACGACAGTGCGCACTGAGGCGCACACACTCACATACGCAATTTGCACATACGAATCCGTTCATTGCTTTCTTGCTTCGTCTGTGTGCGTGTATGGATGTAGATGTGGGTGCCCAAGCAGACCAATGTTCCCAAACACACCAACGAGACAGACGCCAAGGTGCGCAGTGCACTCGACACACGTTCACACATGCATGCGCCGATGCACACTCGTGTCGTATCTCTATCCGTCTTCATTTTGTGCCCAGCGCCCCATCAACGCCGCCAACGACCGCGACAAGGTGGGCAGATTGGCACACATCCATCCTCCACAAACGCACCACACACTGCCTGCATGTCCCCCCTCGGTGAATATCAATGTGTGCGCAGGACAAGGTCTGCTTCCACTGCCACTGCAAGGGCCACATCCGCGCCAACTGCCCGCTGCTGCGCCGCTAGGCCGCCACACACACCCCCCACACTCAGCGTGACTCACTCTGTTCCGTGGTCTCGTGTTGCCGGGCATCAAGGTACGTAAGACCTTGGAGGCGATCCCAGTCTGACAGCAGCCAGCCAGCCAGCCAGCCAGCCAGCCTCGCTCTCCCTCTCTCTCTCCTCGGCGCGTCCCTCTCTGCCATCCATCCATCCGTCCATGGGAGGTCGTGCTCGCCGTTATCGTCCTGACTGGCCCGAGTGTGATGGCCTGACGGTATGTCGTCATGAAGGTCGTCAAGGTATCAGTGGCGTGGCAGGTTGTCAAGGTATGTGAAGCGAGGGGAGGGAGGGTGATGAGGCAAGATCAGGGAAGGAGGAGGCATGTCGGCAGCCGTTCGTGTGGTCTTGATCTTTCGCAGTGGATAGCCAAGGAGCCGCCCACGCCCACGGGCAGCACCACCGACACAAAGGTGCGCAGGGTGCCGCACACTTGCAGTCACACGCACACACAGATGCCTGCATGCCTGTCCCTGTCTGTGTGTGTGTGTGTGTGTGTATGTGTGCGCTCTGATCACAGGGTTCCAAGTTCAAGGACGCCGTGAGCACACGACACACCCACACTTGACGAATGGACATCTGATGATGAATTGCTGCTGTGTGTGTCTAACAGGCGTTTCCTGCACTGCCTGGCAGCAAGGACGACACGAACTACACCGCGCCGCGAGACAAGGTATGCAGAAGTGGCACACTCGAAACCAGCAGACGTGTACACACATGTAACTGTCCACAGGGACTGTGGAACCGCATGTCCAAGAAGGTGCTGGAGCCTTTCTTCGAAGAAGCTGTTCGAGGCTCCTACAAAGACTACCAGGACCACCAGCAAGGTACGCACACCACTCGCCAGCACAGACGCCTGCA